TCCCCTCCACATTCCCCACCACAGACTTCATTAATAATTAGCCCACTGGGCGGGGTTGTGTGACAGACTGTGTGGTCGAGAGCAGGCGTGCGGCAATATATATATCTTTTCAAAGGCGATATGCAATGAACCTCCTGCAGTGCCTGGGGTAAAGCTCCTATGCTCTACACAGGCCACAGCTGTGTCAGCAACACGGATGCTACAAACCTAACCACATATGCAAGCGGATTTCGAGAACTCAGCGTTTCGCTTGGAAAATCCCAGTTTCTGACATGAGTTCCCCCAGTTTGGGAAGAAACTGTAGTTGTCTTTTTGCCCCATGACCACACTAATCTGACAGCATCATTGTTGTTGAAAAGGATGCCTGTGTAGCCCTGACCTGGATAGCCCAGCCAAGCCCGATCTCGTCAGATCTCGGAAGCGAACCAGGGTCGAATCTGGCAAGTCCTTGGATGGGAGACCTCCAAGGAATACCAGCAGTCAGGAGGCGGGGGCAGGCTTTATTCAGCCACCACTCTGAATAACCTCCAGCCCCCCAGTAGGGGTCAATCACCAGAGGTCACCATGACTTAGAATCATAGAATCATAGAATGTTAAGAGTTGGAAGGGACCTTGCAGGTCATCTAGTTCAACCCCCTGCACTCTGCAGGAGCATAGCTGAAAGATAGCCCTACATACCTACAACATACCCGAAAGCTGGTCGTCCAGCCTCCGCTTGAAAACATCCAGCGAAGGAGCATCCGCCACCTCCCGAGGCAGTCTGTTCCACTGTTCAACCACTCTTACAGTTAGGAAGTTTCTCCTGATATTTAGCCAGTAACAACTCCCTTGCAATTTCCACCCATTAGATCTAGTCTTGCAATTCAGAGCAAGAGAGAATAGATCTGCTCCATCTTCTACATGACCGCCCTTCAAATACTTGAAGACTGCAATCATGTCCCCTCTACGCCTTCTCTTTCCCAGGCTAAACATACCCAACTCTTTCAGCCTTTCCTCATAAGACTTGGATTCCAACCCTCTCACCATCCTGGTTGCCCTCTTCTGGACACGCTCGAGCTTTTCAGGTGCACACACACTCACACAAAAAAAAATAACAAAAAGGGGAAAAAAGAAATGGATGCCTGTTTGGCATCCACTGCTTAAAAACACATAAATCCTGATGTGGTAGCCTGAATTTTATGGTTCAGGCTGCTGAGTTATCCCATTTGAGAATGCTCCCCCATTTACAAAAGCACCGCGTAAACAACCAAACACACACACACACGAACTAGCAAAGTGGGCTTTGGACGCAAGAGGTGCCACTAATTAACTTGACACACATAAGGGCACATTCTACAGATGCTGCGAGACACAGAATGAAGAACCGAAGATTCTAAGGGCCAAAGTACACAATACCTCTTTTAAGCAAGCTTGATCCAGGTTTCCCAGACCTGACTTGCTTTCCCCCACACCTAGCGTTTTGCCAAGGCAAAACAGTCCCTCCGGTGAGTTATCTGCATAACAGTGGGACTGCACATGGAGTAGTCCATGAAGCTTCAACGTTCCCCAGCAGGTCTGTTACACCTTGGGAAAATGTCTTTGGAGGGGAGGCATAAGCCCCTCCTCCCTTGAAGCAAGGACCCCCCCCCCTCAGGCTTCAATACTAGGTTCCCCACAGTTCCTTAGTGGCTGTGGGGACACTGAGTTGCACCTATTTATTTATATTTTTTAATTTTTTAAAATTTATTATTACACTTCTATCCCGCCCTCCCCGCGAACGAGCTCAGGGCGACTTACAAAAAAGGGCAACATGTGCCAAATAAAACATTAAAAACAGCATAAAATCAACCCTATTTAACAGTAATAAAAGGCTCAATGATGTTACCAACTTGAACAAATCAGTCAAATCAGATGGTGACCTACAGATGTACCCAAAAGCCCACTTCAGCGGCCCCGACCCCATCGCGATAATGTCGCAAGATCTTTATACTGGGCCATCCCATCACCCCATTGTTAGATAGTTGGTGGTGGTGGTAGTGGTGGCTCCTAATTAAAAACCTGGCGGAAGAGCTTCGTCTTGCAGGACCTGCGGAACTGTGAGAGGTCCCGCAGGGCCCTGATCTCCTCCGGGCGCTCATTCCACCAGGTAGGAGCTGTTAAAAATATTTGTTAATGTTTCTTTGTTTTGGAAGACTCAAAAGAACCACACCAAACACGGTCAAGTTTAAATGGTGTTTATCTAACTATTTACTGGTGAATAATTAAACAACAGTTTGTACATATCTAGAGTTATTTTCCAACAGACCAACATAGAGCTATTTCAGTTAAACTCTCAGAAAAAACCAACTGACAGTGAGGAACAAAATAACTGTCACTCGCAGAATCTCAGTGTACGACTAAGACAGATGCGACAGCCAATCAGACTTCAAGTTGTCTCACAGATAAGACTGACAGAGACCCACAGTACACGCCCACATCTCTCATGCTTGAATCTTCAAATTGTCAACTGGTGTAACCTAACTTTACAAATATAAACTTATCTCTGCACTTGTGCCTCTACATTTATAATCTGACAGGAGCCGCCACTGAAAAGGCCTTGGCCCTGGTTGCCGCAAACCTGGCCTCCCTGGGGCCCGGGATCACGAAGCGATGTAGTAGTCAAACTAGTCGTTTGACCCTGAGTCTCAATATTCGGGTGGGGGGGGGGAGTGGCTCAGCAGAGAGCTAATGAGACAGAAATCACTAAGGCTCTTAAGTGACTGGTAAGGTACACTTTGTACGCAGAAGGTCCCAGGGGCAGTCCCGGGCATCTCTCGTTTAAAAGGAGCCCCGGCTGTAAGGCTTGAGACTTTGGAGAACTGCTGTCACTGCTACAAACTGTCAGCTAAGCTGCCAAGAGTATGGTGTGTGTTTCTCTTTACTGTGCATTCCTTCCCTTGCGCTTAGTTGCCTCTTCACTGCAACGCATATCTCTCAAGGTCACTGGAGGAGTTGATGTGTCTAGAATTTGTGGGAAGCTTCTCACCTACCCTGCTTTCGCAACCGTTAGTTCTCAGCCAAATGCCCACGCGCGGGAACCCACCTAATTGGGTACTACGTGGGGGGGTGTATACGAATGCCCTATATCCTACTATGTGCATAGGTAGCCCGCCATTCCTAACAGTGTTCATGTTACTGCATCTACGGCTTTTCAATAAAAGTAAAACCTTCCTGGAAGCGTGTACTTTGTTGTTTTGCTGTGGGTCCTGACACAAACCTATGAGTCGGATCCTGGCTCAGTGACAAGCACATCCACTTGGCTTCTAGAAGGTCCCCTGGTTCAGTCCTTGGCATCTCTAACTTAAAGTATCTTAGACAGCAGGCTCTGGGGAAGAGGACGAGCACTTGATTATGGTTGAGTGGTTTTAATTGCAATCCATGTTTTAACGCAACTTATTTGTTTTAGTTTATCTGTTTTTATGTCAGCCGCCCTGAGCCGGCTTTGGCTGGGAGGGTGGGGTAGAGATCTGAGAAGTAGATAAATAGACCCTTCTCTGCCTGAGGCTCCGGGAAGCGGCTGACAGCCAGAGACGTTTACAAAATCATCCGGAGGTTAGAGAAAGTAGCCCAAAAGAGCCTCTACATTTGGAAGCCATAAACATCTGAATACCAGTCCTGGGAGGCAACCCTGGAGAAGGCCCTGGACTCTCTGCCCTGTTTGTCAGCCTTCTCAGCTGGTTGGACACGTTGTGACCGAAAAAAGAAGAAACTGTGAGGTAACTGCGCTAGAAAATATTTAAATAACAATCACAAAATTTATACAAAAATGTGTACAAAAAATCTACATATATAAATGCATAAGGCAATTGAAAATGGTGTTAACGATGGTCTCCGGGATGTTCTATCGTTTCGATACTATTCTTCTTCCGAAAGTGGATGAAAGCAGCGAGTCTTGGTCTGTCATTTCAACAAGTAGGTATCAAAATTTCATTAATATTCACCGATGTATCATAACTTAATTGCAAGAAATTCTCTGAAAGAATGGTCCTAGGGCAAAGTGCTTGTATAATGCCTTCACTGCTTTCATCCACTAGGGCTCCCCAAAACCCGGTGCCAGCCCTGGCCTGACAATGAAAAGAGGCACTTATCTTTTTGTCCCGTTTACAACTTGGATAGAGATTACACATTTTACACGCTGTTTAACAGGCCATTTTTATAAAGGGAACATGGTTTAACTAATGCCTGTGAAATTCTAGCCACTCTTCATTTCATTGTTCATGGTACATATTTCACTGTTTTGTTGCATTATCCTCCAATTCTGATGCCCTACTTTACCATATAGAACCACACAATCATAGAGTTGGTTGGGCAATACAGGCCCTCTAGTCCAACCCCCTGCTCAATGCAGGATCAGCCTAGAGCATCCCTGACAAGCGTTTGTCCAGCCGCTGCTTGAAGACTGCCAGTGAAGGGGAACTCACCACCTCCCGAGGCAGCTGATTCTACCAAACTACTCTTACTGTTTAAAAAAAATCTTCCTAATATCCTAACGATATGTATGATACAGCTTTCTAATGCACTCTCTAGTTTTGTGATCCAGGGTCGTCGTTTGTTGGATGTATTATACCGTTTCTATTGCATTGGTTTTTAACTGTGTAATCCGCCTCAAATCTTAGCAAGAAAGGCAAACTATAAATGAAGTAAATAAATAAGATTACCACCAAATCCAGGAAACAGGATATGGAAAATTTAATAAAATATTGTTTAAAAAAATCCAGGAAACAGGTGAAGTGCATATAGCTTTGATATTATTGGGCTTTAGTAAAATCTGGATTATTTGACGCTGGAAGGACAAATAGAAAACATCCCTTCTGAATTTCACCACGCCAGGCTCCCCATTCTGATATTTTCTTAAAACCAAAATTTGGCGGCGGTGGCAGCCCTCTTTCCTGGCAAACAAGCCTCACCCTGAGGTATAAATAAAGGCATGGGACAACACACAACACCGGGAGGGGGGGGGGTGTAAACAGCCTGTTCCTTACTTTTCACAGGAAGAGGAAACGGCGCCTGCGAAATGGCAGCCACACGCAAGGCAGCGCCCACTGCTCAGCTCGGGATAGTAGCCGGCCTCACATCTGTCGCACTGCTGGCCGCCGTAGCCCTTGTGGCACCTGCACTGCCCCGTCGTCGTGTTGCAGTCGTTCAGGCCCGTACTCCCAAGCAAGCTGCAGTTACAGAAAACGTCTGCGAGGGGAACAAAAGAAAGCTCGGCGTTAACATGGGACACTCTAAGAAAGCACAGTCTCGTATTACAGTTATTCTCAACAATTTGCAGGAGATGAAAGGGAATTTTTGCTCTGTTCTCCGGGACAGTCATTGCCATTGTTCCTGATTCTGGATCACATTCTACCACACCATTTGTTGTCCCGTTACATTTTAGCCCCATACTTCCTACAAGAGGCTCCGGGCAGCACACCTGATTTTTCCACTTGTCCGTTTGCTCTTATCAGAACCGTGTGAAGAAGAGTTGGCTTTACACCCTGCTCTTCACTAGGAGTCTTGGAGTGGTTTACAATCACCTTCCCTTCCCCTCTTCCTTCCCCACAACAGATACGATAATCTAAGATATTTTTTAGTTCCAGTTTGGTGTAGTGGTTAAGTGCCCGGATTCTCATCTGGAAGAATCAGGTTTGATTCCCCACTCCTCCACACACAGCTGCTGGATGACCTTGGGCAAGCCATAGTTCTGTCAGAGCTGTTCTGAGACTCCAAGTGAAGGGCAAGGTATAAATCCAATCTCTTCTTCTTCTTCTTCTGAGAGGTAAGTGGGGCTGAGGGAGCTCTGAAAGAACTGCTCTTGAGAGGACAGCTCTGAGAGAACTGTGGCTGACCCAAGGTCACCCCGCTGGCTTCATGTAGAGGAGTGGGGAATCACACCTGGTTCCGCCAGTTTTAACCACTAGACCAAGCTGGTAGGTTAGGGTGATAGAGGATTGACTGACAGTGACCTAAGGAGGTCTGTAGCTGGGTAGGAACTCGAAACTCCCTCTTTCCTGTTCAAATCTAACATTCTGAGTAGTGAACAAAGTTTGAGCCCGGTGGCACCTTTAAGACCAACTAAGTTTTATTCCTGGTATCAGCTTTTGTATGCATGCACACGTGTGTGCACACAGAAGCTTACACCAGGAATAAAACTGTTGGCCTTAAAGGTGCCACTGGACTCAAATTTTGTTCTTCTACTCCAGACCAACACGACTACCCACCTGATTCTGACTACTGTCCTTGCAGGGTATGACCTACCTTGGGTCATGTCACAATCCAACTGGGGGTCAGCACCCACCAGCTGAAGACTGAACATTGAGTCGAGTGGAGAGGAAAGGAAAGAAGTTTGTTGTGAGAGAACACCAATTACATTGACTCTTGAAAGCTTATACCTCCAAAATCACGTTGGTGTCTCTAAAGTGCTACTGGACTCAAATTCTCCAGTTACATGCATACACACTAACTAACTTCAAGGAGCAGACGTGACACATCCTATTGTCTTTGCAGGGGTTGTGGATGAGAGTATTAGAAGCAAGCCATAGTTCTGTCAGAGCTGTTCTCTCAAGGACAGTTCTGGAAAGAGCTCTCTCAGCCCCACCTACCCCACAGGGTGTCTGTTGTGGGGAGGGGAAGGAAAAGGAGATTGTAAGCCACTCTGAGACTCCAAGTGAAGACCGGGATATAAATCCCCCCTCCCCCTTCTACAAATTTGAATGCTCTCCCACAGAAAAAAGCTCCCTACATGTAGAAAGCTAGCATACAAGGGAGAAAAAGTTCAGCTCATTCATCTCCTTGACTAACAAGTGGAGCAGGGATTGCACTGAGAGTCCGAAGACCAGACTCACATTTCGCTAATGAAAATTTCCCACAATTCTCACTCCCTTCCATCCAATGAAGACCTCTTTATTTATCTACCAAGGAATCCAGAGCCACGTGAATGGAGATCTCCTCTGCCTAACCCCACTTTATTGTCACATCAACCCCATGAAGGAGGAAGGGCCCACAGAAGATCACTGTTCCAAGGTAACCCACCAAGCTTCACGGCTGAATGGGAACTAGAACTCAGGTCTCTGGAGTCCCTAGATCCGGTTTCAGACGAGAGCTTCCCCCTGCTCTGCAGTTCCTTCAGGGAGAGCATCTGAGGGAAGGCACAAAGCACACTCCCCCCCCCACTCAGAAAACAGTCCCGAAACTTTACTTGCACAGAGTTTTGTCCTTCAGCCATGGAAGGGTTCTACTCATTCTCATCTCTGCAGTATCTGTAGGCCAGACCTCATTCGTATCTCACAGAGTCCTTTCTCCAACTCCCCATCCCAACAGCAACCATGCATCAAAAAGGATATTATAGCATTGGAAAAAGTGCAGAAAAGGGCAACTAGAATGATAAAAGGGCTGGAACACTTTCCCTATGAGGAAAGGTTAAAGTTCTTGGGGCTCTTCAGCTTGGAGAAACGATGGCTGAGGGGTGACATGATCGAGGTTTATAAGATTATGCGTGGGATAGAGGAGGTCGAGAAAGAAGTGCTTTTCTCCCTTTCTCACAATACAAGAACTCGTGGGCACTCAATGAAATTGCTGAGCAGTCAGGTTAGAACAGATAAATGGAAGTCCTTCTTCACCCAAAGAGTGATTAACACCTGGAATTCACTGCTGCAGGAAGTGGTGGTGGCTACAAGCATGGACAGCTTCAAGAGGGGATTGGATAAACATATGGAGCAGAGTTCCATCAGTGGCTTTTAGCCACAAGGTATAGATAGGAACTCTCGGTCTGGAGCAAGTGATGCTTGGTATTCTTGGTGCTTGGGGGGGGGGCAACAGTGGGAGGGCTTCTAGTGTCCTGACCCCACTGCTGGACCTCCTGATGGCACCTGGTATTTTTTGGCCACTGTGTGACAGAGTGTTGGACTGGATGGGCCACTGGCCTCATTCAACATTGGTGTCTCTTATGTTTTTATGTATCTCATGTTCTTATGTATGAATTATCCAGCCATGAAGTGGTAGAGCTCAAAGGTAACAGAGGGCACTGTACCACTACGGACAGCAGGTGCGAAGCTGCCCTGCCTGAAGGATCCCTGTGTCAAAATGAAAAAAGCCCCCTGCAAATGAAAAGCTAACATATTTCCCGCCATGCTAATTGTCTACTTGCAAAAAGTCACTTAGGGAGGGGAGTATTCAAAACTGTTATGCCCTTCATACTCTTATTGTCTGGATAAATATATGGAGCAGTGGCTATTAGCCACAAAATATAGATGGAACACTGTCTGGGGCAGTGATGCTCTATATTCTTGTGTTTGGGGGGGGGCAACAGTGGGAGGTCTTCTGGAGTTCTGGCCCCACTGCTGGACCTCCTGATGGCACCAGGTTTTGGCTTCTGCATGACACAGAGTGTTGGTCTGGATGGGCCATCGGCCTGATCCAACATGGCTTCTCTTATGTTCTTATGTATAAAGTGGTACAGTCCAGTTGAGGATTCCACTTCATCCCGTGGAATGGCTTCCCCTCCGGAAATCACTATTTCTATTTTTTTAGTTCCAGTCTATGAAAAGTTTAAAAGAAACATGTTTCAGTGGAAAATATAGACTTCCTTGCTTCCCGAACCCTACTTCACTGAGGCCCGGTTCACACATGCGGAACAATGGGGAGGGACTGAGGGAGAAGGGGGAAGGCTGAGACAGTAGGATGGGCTGTGCCACCTTACACCGCTGGTGGGGGAATCGCAGCATTAAATGTTTCTTAGCACAGAAACCACCGCACAGAGAGAAAACTAGCACAGAAGGGGGAGAGTGCAATTCCTTCTCCCAGCTTGCTTTTCGGGTGTCGTGTCTGCACAACGTTTTTAACAGAGAGGAGCACTCCAAACTGGTGATCTCTCACCCGTGGTCTGGAAGTGGTGCAGCCCATTCTACCACCTCAAGCCACTGCCGCCTCATTCCCCAGCAGAGCGGCAGACTAGGCCCAACTTTGACCCTCTAATCTCTAGCAATTAATGCAGATCAACAAAGGCCAGTATGCTTCCTCGGCAGCGAGCAAGTACGTCTGTTCTTCCAACACCTCTTTACTCCACTTAATATGATTACTTACGTACGACTCGCACTGATAAGGGAGACGCTTTGTACGGCTGCCGCCCAGGCCAATACTGCAATGGGAAACCCACTGGGAAAGTGCAGGGGGAGAGAGAAAGAGGACTGTGTTTCTGTTCCACTTAACTCCGCAACTGAACAAACTGTCAGGCAGTTTTCAAATTAAACTGGTTGTATTCCAAGCACCAGGAAAAAGGACAGCTCCTAATCCACCTGTCCATCCCTTGGCCTAAGGCTCTTAGAAAGAACTGCACTTCTGAAGAAGTGAGCCGTGACTCAGGAAAGCTCACCCCCTGCCACAAATGTTGTTAGCCTTAAGGTGTTACTGGATTCTTGCTCTTTTCTACTGCAACAGCCAGACAGGCTACCCATCTTGATCTTGCAATACAAATAGTCCTCCTTAAGAGGGGACAGTTTAGTGTTTGCCAACAGGGACGGCAAGTTGCTTCCAAAGGCAAAAGGTGCAACATGTGCCCTAAAGCGGTGCAGTCAGCTGTCCAGAGGGCCAAACTCGCTGCAGAATGCCAAGTTGTTTTGCACACACCCGGACGCCCCTGCGGGAAAAGCTGCTGCTATTTAGAGGTCAGGTTTTTTCCTCTCACTCAGCGGAGTCAGTCTATTCACGCCACTGGAGATGCTCCATCCTGGCAGACCCTGCAGCCCAACCTAATAAGAACACGCACTCAAGGCAAGGCAGAAGGATACCGAGTTAGAAGCAGTATCCACTAACGTTCCCTCTGAGCTGTAGAATCTTGTGAGCAAAAATTGTACTTTGTGAGCTACTTGCATTAAAGTTGTGAGGGAGCGATTGGGCTGCTGCATAAATTAGTTTGCTCTGGAGCCACCCTTCCTGAGAGAAAACAAAAATCTATGAGCTGGAGGCTAAAAAACTGTGAGCTAGCTCACACTAACTCAGCCTAGAGGGAACACTGGTGTCCACAATCCTCTCAGCGTGGCAAGACGGGGGGGGGGGGCTTCCACACAAAATCTTTCTGACTCGCCACACCACAAATGCTCAGAATCCAAGACTAGGAAAAGCAAGAAGAGATGGAAGGGAGGGAGGAAACATACCAGCACAAAGCTTCTTTGTTTCTGAGGGGCATTAACACAGCTTGTTCGCGG